ACCATGGACCAAATTTCGATCGATGGCCCGCGGGACCAAGTACGCGACCGCCGAAGACCTGCGCCTCGCCCGCGCGATCGTGGCTGCGGCCCGCAGTAGGAGCGCGGTCGTCGACAACGTCAAGCACTTCTGGACGGACGTGTACAGCCACTTTGTGACGCTCGGGGAGGCAGCAGGCGCCATCGACTTTCGCTCGCCCAGCGGCGTCGAACAGCACTGGCACAGCGTCGCCGACAACGTTCGCCGCTTTGTTCAGCTCTACGAAGCCGCGATGTTCACCAGCGTCAACCATGAGAGCGCCATTGCGACGGCCTGCACCAAGTACGTGCATGAAAGCGGCCGTGTCTTCAAGCACCTTGAAGTGTGGCAGTACCTCCGGGATGAAGCGCCAATGTCGTACCAATACTTGCTAACCGTGCACCCCCGGGTCCTTGGCACCGATATGCCAGCGCCGAGAGACAAGCACGTGACAGATTGTGCACCTGCGATCGAGCCGACGCAAGCATCTGACCAAGAGCCGAGCGGGACCAGTGGCGCTGTCATGGCGCCTGTGGAGACGCCTGTGGCCACCATGAGTCGTGTCAGCGGCAAGACAACCGCCACCAAGAAACGCAAGGCCATCGACTTTTCGGCCGCTAGGCTGGAGCAGCGGCAGCGAAAGAACGAGCTTTTGGCGCAGCACAACGAGCTCTTGCGGCAGCTCGTGGAGGCTCAATCCACGATGGCCCACGCCGCCGTCTTTGCAGACGCACCTGTCGGTGAGCGCGAGGCGGCGGCAGCACTGCAACGTCGCGTGGTGTTTGCACGACTAGAAAAGGAAGCCCGAGCTTTGGGACTCGACGTCGCCAACTCGAATCGGTAGTCGTTTCGCTACAAACGACACTTTAAGCGACAGGCCGGCAAATCGTTTGGTGGCAAGGTGCGACCGTGTCCATTGCATTGGTTTTTTGTGTGTTGAAATTTAAAAAAGTACGATTTACGCTTTGTCATTGGGGGGGTAGCCAATGGGATGCATACGATACCCACATTTTTTCTTGGACGGAAGACGTGCACTGAAGCGCGCTCTACGCGAAGGCTCATAAGCGCGTCATATGACGTAGTACGTA